GACACTTTTGCGTCTCCTACTGGAGACGGGATCGCCATTTGTACTTAGATATCCGCGCCGTTTGTCCTTAATAGGTATTTCAATACCCAGGGTATTGGTCAGGCTGGGGATCGAATCCGTAACACGTCGCTGATAATAAAGCAGCGCTTTGCCGACGGAGCTAACCACTCGGTCTTAGTGTAGAAAGAGAATTCAGGCATCTTACCCGCCGCAACACGAATGCCTTAGGGAAATTGCACTCTGGGTGTCAGATTTTTTATGCGCGGTTTCCGGTTTTGGTCGTGGCTTCGGTCGCCCGAAGATCTGTCGGCGGCCGACACAGAAGCATCCCGCCGCACGCGAGAAAAAACCGCTGGTACCCTGGGTAAGAAAATTGTTGCTGGAAATAAAATTAGTCTTAGCTTCTTATAAATTTAAAATGAGCTCTATTTACAGTTTGTTGGGTGGTTTACAACTTTATTTTTATACCAAAGACTTTCTAATGATTGAAAGTGTGATTTCCTAACAATGTAAGCTTTTCAGAATATTTTCAGAACATGCACGTCACGCTCTTGTCGTACTATTTAAATCGTCTTTCAGACGTCTCAGCTCTGATTATCATTTCTCGTCTCTTTCTATATTTGTCTATGTTTAATTAGACATCTACTTAATATTGCGTCAAAGAAGCTTAATTTAAAAAAAGCTATTGTCGGCAAACGAGACAAACGCTCTTTGAAAAATACTTCTCTAGTCCGCATTATAAGATCTATTACAGGTTCTTACAGCCTGGACAATAATACGCACAGCCAATGCGTAACGTGCAATAGATAGCTGCACGGATGTCAGTAAGAAAGGGATGAAACTGGCACTATCTCAAATTCTAAAAGAGATAGTACGCAATTTGATATTAGTTGATATTAGAGAGAGATTAACTGATACCCTTTATATTATGGCTGAAAAGAGAAGTGTATTATACAATGCAATAGGATATCAAGTGGAATTTAAATTATCATATTAATACATATACTTTTCGTTCGGCACGTACTTAAGAGGTAATTTTTTTCATTTACCTTGAAGAACTTCAGCTTACAGTTCAGTGCTCACCCTAAACCTTGAAAAGAACATTTTGCACATATATCAGTTACACGCTTGCACTTGTCTAGCACTTGAGGCACTTGCACAACGGTTATGTCACAGTTCCTACGTCGTTTGCTTATGAAGTTGATTCTTTTTTCTCATTATCTTTACTTAATTTCGTCGTACAATATATAAAAGTGATGTATTTATACAATACATGAGTATATGTATGAGGGGGACAGCTATATATCCCAACAGATTCCATCCTGAGTTCATTTCTATCAACGAATGCTTTGAAAATTCGTTGCCTTGTAACTTCAATTAACGTTATTTCACCATGTAAATGTTCTTTTCTCCAGCAAGAAATCAAAGACTTTAAACGTTAGTTTTAATTGCGGTCCATTCTAGGTGACGAGGAAGTCTTCGTAAATGTCCTTAGCCAAGTTGCGGACAAGTTCATCAGGTAACTAGTGTGATAACGAAACTTATCTCTTTCACTTCCGGCATTACTCTCCGCTTAACAATTGTTGTGAATGATTCAGTATTTATGGGACTGTTGTGGTATCATTTTGTCTTTACTGGAAATGAACGCGATTATGATAAAGAGCAAGTGCTACTGAGAAAATTGATATTGGGAGTGTGTTTCACAGCCGTAAGATGTATGCCCGAGATCACATCGACCTTAACTAGATCAGTGACCAGTAGTTAGCAGTGAAAACATAGGGTTTTGCTCCAGTTTTTAGTTCTCGAGTATTGTAGTCTAATTATCTTCATTACTATATATATTACAAATGTTAATTTCATCCGATAGACCTTTCTTTTTACCGATACGGCGGCCATATTGAAGTTATTTGATCTAAGGAGTATTATGGGATGCCCAGGGGGCACTCGCTAAGCGCGCAGAGAACTTCACTGTTTATTTCTAGGGAAAAAGGCAATCGCTATTACATCCAAACACGGCACAACGATCTTTTTTCACAATACAATCTTTTTGTAGGAAAACTTGAAGAAAAAAACTGGCTCGAAAAGCGCGCGTAAATACTAAGCGAGTATATCGGATTGTGATCATACCGCCTGGGCATCCCATAATTCCCCTTAATTCTAAGTAATTCAATATGGCCGCCGTATCAGCAAAAAGGTCTATTAGCAGGAAAATGTGCAAAAAGTATTAAAAATCTCATGCGTAGGCATTTAAATGGCTACACATGAGATTTTGGAAAACTGGTCCAAAATGCAAAGGTTGGTAAAAAATACAGTTTTTGCGCCACTACATATGAAATCCTTTTTTCCAAGTTTCATGTCTAATGGTTTGTTGTATGACTTGCAATTTCACATCACAAAAAACGCATTCAGGTTTTTGTAAAATTTCACATCACTAGCGAGAAGGATTAGTTGAAGCTTTTCTTGTAGCCCCTGCTCGGCTTTAACATATTTGCCTTCCTTTTCAGGGTAACGCATTCAGTGACTGTTTGCTGGTTGTATACTGTATTTGTTCTATCTTGAACCTTTCTTTTTTTGCCCTGATGATGTCACTCCGCTTAGCATCAATCACCATGATATCGCCTTTTTTGAGTAGTGGGGTTCACTTGTCGGTACGGCAAGACAAAGCGGAACTTCCCACACAGCGAGTCACTGATGATGCTTAATAAGTTGCCTTATATCATGATAATGATGCATTACCAACCACATAGCATCTATTGTTCAAGTTAATTCTACGTGATTTAGTTTGTAATGTTTTCTTTGCTTTCACAGCACGTTCACAGTGTCTCAATTAAAATCTGAACTCGCCAAGCAGCTGTCCCACTTGGAAAGGAAAGTAGAAGGTATATGTATTATGATGATTGGAATGATCAGAAAAAAGAAATAAATTACTGTGTGACTCTGACTACAGATCGGAGAACAACTTACGCAGTCAACAGAGAATCCCATGGTACACAGACAGTGCTTTTATACTAATAATCTTGGACAAAAATGTTAAAACGTTGCCTTGTCGTGATCTCATGATAAAGTTCTCGAAAGCACTAGTGATTACCAAAAGAAGATAAAGGGGCTTATCCTCCCTTGTGATTACAAATATTTATTCCCTCCCACCCCCAAAAAACAATGTTAACATTCGGCGGGATCATTATTGTTCCGGACTGAACAACGTTGATCAGGTTGGGGTGGGGGGACTGGGATCATGCAAGTTCGTGGGATGGGCTTCCTGTGGGCTAAAGAATGCGCAAAATTTTTTTTGACGATTGTGCCATGCAACGCTTTGTTTCCGTATGTTGTTATAATCAAGACAAAAATATAAGTTAAAGCATCAGGAAATTTTGCCTCTATTAGTACAATTAAGAGTTTCCGAAAGCCAACACCATTTAGGGAACACTATTTTACTTTCTATAACAAATCACAGTTAAGTTAATTGCAGGCCGTTAGTTATAGTCATGTCTGAATTGTAGGTTTCACTTTTATTTTATCTGTGACCCCACCAGGAGAAGCTTCTAGTTGTTCTTTCATAGTGCGTAAAGTATAGGCTATTGATTGATTGATTAAATTGGAATTAATAATCTGTGAAGACTGGGGCATTTTGATTAGCCTGCGAGCAAGCTCTCCTATTTGGGCGTGCGAACCGTGCCGCGTGAGAACACGCGAGCGTCCCCCGCCTTCGCGTCTCCTCTCGCGTGCCTCTCGCGCGTCCACTTTTCAGGATATCCCCCAAATAGAGAGCTTGCTCGCAGGCTACAATTTGATGAGTCAGACTTTCGTCATAAAGTTTACTGGCGAATTTGAAAATACAGTCTTTTTTAACAATATATTTTCTAAGAATATTAAGGCCGAATTTTCAACGAAAATTTTAAGCCTATTTTAAGAATAATTGCAAGGCTGAGAATTTGAAAAGGAAATATTTTTTGTGTTAAAAAACTGCAAATACAATACAATTACTGTACGTTTTTAACTTAACCGTATGAAATTATTCCTTTCTCTAAAAGGCAAAACTAGCCACCAAAACGAAAAAACCTTAACTAAGTGTAATTGATACCCCAATACATTAGAAAACACTAAAAAATTTCATAAACTATATTTTAAGAATAATACGAGAATAGTTCGAGCCTAAAATCGGCAGAAAAAAATAAGAATGCTCGGCTTGGGCAGGAACAAACAACGCTCTTGTAAAAAGAACAGAGTATAAATACACGGGTTGTCAGTCTTCAGGTAGATACCAGTTAAGCCTTCTTTTGACCCAGTGTTCCGGATGATTAACTGCGTAACGATTTTTTTGCTTCCAGTTGAGGCACTCAAAGCTATAGAAATGCAGCACTTGAGCGCCGAGATCACTGAGATACGGGAACAAATCCGCCAAGACAGGTAATCAATCATGTGATTATCTTGGGAACAGGGTATGGAAGGGAGGGAGAGGGGAGGGGGCTCTGATCCCCCCTTCCAGTCCCTATTGCACGACAATGCCGCATCCTGAACTTCATTCGTCTCTACCACCTCGAATATCGTTTTTTCCTTTCTAAGTTTGGCGAATCCCACTTCCTGACTGAGCGCTCAAATCCTGTATCCCCTCAAGACATTTTGAGTATTCCCGAATCACACACTGTATTTTGGTCATATGCCCATCCCTGATCAAGAGAATGCCCTTCTAGACCGAGTGGGAAGTTAGACTTTTCTATAAAACGCTCACGGAATTTTCAGTTTTAAATAGTTTTTTAACCGACTCCAAGAGTGATTTTCAAATTTAATTTTCAGAATAATCCCTTCCTGGGTTGTCTTAGTACCTCTGCATTATCAGTTCCAAACCTGGAGTTGAAATAACTCTTACTTACAGTGCTCAGAAAAAGAAACTTCCTTTTTGGATTTAAACTCCGAGAAATTAGCTCCAACGTAAGGGATTACATTAGTTTAGTTGCGTCTTAAGATGGCAATCTGCTCCTTAAGAGAATGCGATAGACCTTTTTGTTATTTTTCTCTAAAAAATCACCTGAATTAAATCAAAATTATTGTCTTTGAAAAAAAAGCGAACTATGTTTATGCTGTAATGTCTTTCGATTGATATGGAAAACTGACTTTAATATATATGCTTTTTAATTTTGAGTTTCAAAAACCTTCAGTCTTGAATAACACCCAGTGGAAACATTTTATGTCATTGCAAAAATCACTCGTATTTGCTTGAGAGTAAAAAATCATTTTCCTGGCACTTGCTGTTATTTCTAAGAATTCAAAGGCTTGTGGCAACTTGGAAATACAATTTCATCGATCTGTGATGATATTGAAAACTGCATTGCTCAATAGCTGACCTTTCTTCATTTAGAATCACGTGGCAAGCTATACAAGATAACGTTACTAACAAGGGTAACAAAGGACGAAAACTCAGCATATCAAGGCCTATGCCAAATTTCGTCAAGGTAGGTAGATGATGTGTTATTAGATCACTGAACTAGATTGACAACTTTTTCACAAATACAGAGTGCCTACCTTACAGCTACGCGGGCAATGAGAAAAAACCAGTTTAAAGTCTCGCTCGCTTTGATGTTATCCCATCCAAGATAATCTGGCGATGCTCAGTTTTTAATTTTCTTTATTACTATTTTTTGCAGTACACACTTTCTCAGACCACTGTTGAACAGCTCAAGGAACCCATTTTCAATATCTGGCACTGGGAGCCGAATGAGGTATCATGCCGCATGTATATATAGTCAATGCAAGTTGATCATGAGATACCCATAAACCCATAGATAAACACGAGACTCAACTCGCTCAAGTAAATTATTTAATATAGCAATGAACATATCTAGAATACGTCTGACTACTTACTAAAAAAGTTGTTGTAAAACGGGAAAATTGTTTTACAACCTTACTACGGAATATGCTAAAAGCGATGTTGTGCGTTTTACCACCCATGTTCAAATCTATGTTGCAAGTTGCTGAGTTTTGATTTGAATACAGTTGACGCGGGAGTCAACTCCTTATTGCCTGGGGGAGGGGGGGGGGTGGGGGGAGGGTTTGGGGCTAATCAAGGTGAAAATTAGCCGATTTTCCCTTTGAATGTTAGTTCACTGAAGTGATCCCCCCTAATAACATTTGACGACTTTCGCGCCCCCCCCCCCATATCTTCATTTTCCAAGCAAATTTGAGTGGCCTCCCCTTTGAATCCTTCCAAAGTTTTCAGTGATCCTCCCTTTTGGGTCCTCAGTTACGACTGATTCCCGCCAAAATCCTAATGACCGGTGCCTTAGTCACTTGCTGCCAAGTTTACCTTAGCCGGTAAAACGCGAACATCGCTTTTCAACTCGTTTCGCAGCAATGTTGCAAAACAAGTTGTACGTTTTTGTTGCCCTTTTTACAGTACATTAATGCGTTATTGCCGGGCAGTGTTGCAATTTATTTTTCGTGGAATCTTATTTCATCCGTCATACGTCCTGCTGAATTAATTCATTAAATTTAGGTTAAACCGAGCTGAGGTAGAAGATTGCTTTTTGTGTTTCATTTAGCGACACCTTCGTTAAAATTTGCAGATTTTGTCATTGTTGGAGCACATGTACAGTGACCTGGGGCTGATTGAAGACTTTGAAATTAACCAAGTTGTCTTAAGAAGGTTTCTGGTAAGCGAAATCACACCTCAAAAAATTAGTCCTATAAGGCAACTATCGACGTTCATGACTCGGTGGAAACACTTTTCAGTTTCCTTGAGTTTAAACGAGTGAGTTTTGATTTTTTTCCATTTTTCTTCTTCGTCTTGGTTAGGCCCATTTGATACTACAGTTGGGACAGTTAGTTGGGACACTCTCTTGGTGACTCTGTGTTGTGCGCCCAGTGTGTCGTAATAGTTTATCATTAAAGCTTAGATAATTGAATGACTAAGACTTAAAAACAGATTATCCATAAAAATGTATTTATCCTCTCCTCTTAAGGGCTTTTTCAGAGACAATGAAACAAATAATTCAAATCAAACATAACAGAGTTAAGAATCCTAGCTGGCCACAGGCATCCAGTTGGCTATTTACAAGCCTAAAAAACCAGTTTGCCTGTAAACTGTAGTCCTTTTAGCGACGAAAGCCCTTAGGAGTTCTTAAGAAATCGTTGAACCCTATTCAGACCAGACTGGGCGAATTTCGTTTTGTTTACCGTATTTTTTACATTCTTGTTTTATTTCCAGGTGTCTATTCAACAAAATTACAGAAACAATCCATTTCATAACTTCCGCCATTGCTTCTGTGTTACTCAGATGGTAAGAGTGAAGAAAAATTGCAACGCCCTGGTGTTAACTTCCTTTCATATTTTCCTGTCCAATAATCACTACATGTATGAACATCAGGAATATGAGTATGAATACGCAATATAATTCTATCTGACCGGCTGTAAAATTGGTGCGTCTGCTACTATCAGAGCTTCCTCGCATACAAGATAAGCTAGGACAAAAACTTCTATCACTAATTATGAGCATGTTTTTCCTAAAAACTGAACTATTATTCGTCTGGTTGGTAGTATCGTAGAAGTATTTTGTTGTGGGATAAAAACTTATCAGCAACTGTACGAGGTTACTATATTGCCCAAAGAAAAGTCGAAGACTCGATCAAACGAGGTTGGAATGCATGTGTAATCAAACAAAAGGTGTAGAAGAAGCCATGACTGTGTGTTTCTCTTATCGTTTTAGATGTACTGCATTATCCATCTTTGCAACCTAAGAGACGTTCTTTCTAAGATTGATCTCCTCGTTTTGATGACAGCCTGTATTTGCCACGATCTTGATCATCCAGGATTTAACAACACGTGAGTTTATGCAATAGTCAGTATAGGCAGTTAGCCATAACTGCAAAACGGTCAAAACCATTTCACTCGAAGAACCGATTTTTCAGACCTGTAACGACTGGCTCTCAATAATCTTAAAAACACTTAAAATTCAAAAGTCGTTAGATTAAATACTTAAGGGTAGCGAAACCTCATTGGAAGTTACAGTAATTTTTAAATGGCGTGCATCATTTTTCTTGACTTTTGAGTTTTTTCAATCAACTCTTTAAACAGTCGAACCTCCCGTAAGCGACCACCCAAAGATCGAAGCGGATTTAGTGGTCGCTTAGAAGAATCACACCTTGCAGGTCCCTTCCGAGAAGAAGTCCCGTCACATCTACCTTAATTTTGGCAAAGAATGTGTTGCATGCAATTTCCAAGTTACCTATACGTGTTCCATGCATGATGTCATTGAAAATTCTTTGTATACTCTGAGTAGTGTAATACATGTACATACAGCGAAAACAAGAGACCACACTATGCGTCAAGTGATCACTTAAGAGGTTAAAAACAATTGAAAACTGTAAAATCGTCAGAGGCCAAAATTTGGTCGCAGTCGCCGCTTACTAGAGGAGGTTTCACATGAAGGTTGGACTGTAGAATCAGGCTAGGGACCCTAAGATGCCACGACGGCGACGACAACGAGAACGTCAATAAAGGAACAGGTTGAATATTTAGCAAAACAACAACGCTGCACCTGCATCACGCTTTTTTTTGTACTTTTTTTTGCCTTTACTGCACGACTAAAACGGGAAAATGCCTAATTTCGCGTTTTAAGGTAATGATACTAGGGATCCGGACTATTCGCAACGACGATTATTAGCGCAACACACACAGCGTTGGAACAACGTGTAACCATTCGAAACAATGTCGCAGCAATATTGCCATGCTGCATTGTGCTAAAAATCGATTTGATGGTTTGTGTTTGTACACTTTAGTTATAACGTTATCCATAACCTTGTGTCCATAGTTACCAGATCAATGCGCAGACAGAACTTGCAATTCGCTACAATGACATTTCGCCTCTGGAGAATCACCACGCTGCAGTGGCCTTTGAGATTCTATCTCAGGTATGACCAAGAATAGCTCTCGTTCTCACTTCTAACTCGTGAAGTGAATGACGTTTTACATGTTCAGTTATGTACAAATAGATCTCATGGTTTGCGCCCACTTATTATAGGTCAGCAGAAGATTGCATGCAAATATAATGGGCAGATGTTAAAGCACGGGTTCGCCGTAGAATGAATGAACCAGGGCATATAACTCACTAGCTCTGACTAATGCAATTATGTTCATTTTGCATTTTTGTTTTGAAATTACTCATAATTTTGAATGACGAGGCTAGGTGAATGATGACAATTACTAGCATTTTCAAAAAAAGTGTGCGTAAAACAAAGTGAAACGTAAACTTTGGTCATCAGATTGAATCAGTGTGTGACACATTATATATGGAATGTCTCGTTCTATTTCCTTGCACTCCAGACTAAGAAGGCGGGGGAGGGGGAGAAGGCGGGCTGTGGGTAGGAGATTTTCGCGGAAGCTTGGCGCAAAATGGAGTAAATACTGCACCAAATGTCCATAATTGTAATGTATGATCATTCTTTAACTTTTCAGCCTGAAAGCAATATATTCGCCAACTTGGGAAAAGAAGATCAAAAGAAGGTTCGCCAGGTGTGTACTCAGGGTTCAACTTTGAAATATATCTCCCGATGTTAGCTCGTTAGCTCGTTTTCCAAGAAAACGGTTGTGAAGAGTTTGCGTAGTAGATAACATGTATTTGCAGTTGATTTGCATAAGACGTCCACGGTCCTACCAGGCAAAATTTAGGCGCAGTTCATGGGCCTCGTTACCCGTCCTCTGTCCTAGCTAGTTTGACCATTTCTGTATGATGCTAAAAAAATGATTTTGCATCCTTTGGATTCGGCAGTGTAGTTTGGTTATAGGCAAGCAAACTAAACTTAAAAGTGGAGGCGGCTTATATAAGCCGACGCTGGATTAGCAGGTAGTTCATATGGCGATTCCCTACTGACACCGAACCTAATAGACTAAAAACATAATACTTTAATAAAATTCTCATTTAATTAAGGCTTCTATATAATGGACAGTTTGAATCGACTTGCACGGTGGTTGAATCAATCGCCGATCGAAAGTCAGTTCAAAGTTGAACCTTATCGTGCATGCGGATTTGGTTCGACATATAAATCGTGCGGTGTCCTGTGAGCACTTAAGATTACACGTAATCTCGTACCCAGATCTCACTCTGTCTTACGCTGTAAAGGGAGATCTCCCTTTCCTTTGGCCGCCGGAGGTCTGGGTATGAGATTAGATGACACGAGGTGGAGGCTTTGGTGAACAATTCCAAATCGCCCCACGTAAGGTAATCCAAGACAGTCTTGGATTCTGGATACAACGCTATGGCTTCCGGATTCCAGCTACTGTATTCAGAATTCCTTGTCTGTGGAACAAATTGGATTCCAGATACCGATCGTTTTCGGCATTCCGGAGTCGTTAAGCTGTATTCTGGATTCCACAAGAAAATATTTCCACATNATGGGCCTCGTTACCCGTCCTCTGTCCTAGCTAGTTTGACCATTTCTGTATGATGCTAAAAAAATGATTTTGCATCCTTTGGATTCGGCAGTGTAGTTTGGTTATAGGCAAGCAAACTAAACTTAAAAGTGGAGGCGGCTTATATAAGCCGACGCTGGATTAGCAGGTAGTTCATATGGCGATTCCCTACTGACACCGAACCTAATAGACTAAAAACATAATACTTTAATAAAATTCTCATTTAATTAAGGCTTCTATATAATGGACAGTTTGAATCGACTTGCACGGTGGTTGAATCAATCGCCGATCGAAAGTCAGTTCAAAGTTGAACCTTATCGTGCATGCGGATTTGGTTCGACATATAAATCGTGCGGTGTCCTGTGAGCACTTAAGATTACACGTAATCTCGTACCCAGATCTCACTCTGTCTTACGCTGTAAAGGGAGATCTCCCTTTCCTTTGGCCGCCGGAGGTCTGGGTATGAGATTAGATGACACGAGGTGGAGGCTTTGGTGAACAATTCCAAATCGCCCCACGTAAGGTAATCCAAGACAGTCTTGGATTCTGGATACAACGCTATGGCTTCCGGATTCCAGCTACTGTATTCAGAATTCCTTGTCTGTGGAACAAATTGGATTCCAGATACCGATCGTTTTCGGCATTCCGGAGTCGTTAAGCTGTATTCTGGATTCCACAAGAAAATATTTCCACATTCCAGAATCCGTATTACCTTAAATGGGGCAATTCTTAGAAATCACTGTAATGAGGGTACGGTCTGTTTATTGACATGAAAGTTTGAATTAAAAAACAACAACGGCTGACTACAAAATGCAAGTTAAGAGTCTTACACATAAGTCCAAGTGTTATTCTAAATTTGTAGGAAATTGTGACGCTGATCTTAGCAACAGACATGGCACGGCACAGTGAGATAGTTGAACGTTTTAAAAGCAAGTTGGACACATTCGATTTTAGCAACGCTGATTACGTTGGATCGGTAAGTAGAAAGTTAAATATAAAATTGAGAGAGTGATACAATAGATAGAAAGCGGAAAGCGTGGCTGCATACCCCTTAAAAAGGAAGGGGTGGTGTACGTTCTCTTACGTTAAGCGCTATGGGTTCTCCTGTTACAGAATGTTTTTGATAGCTCGCCTGCCACCCAAAGGGTGTTATGGGCTGAGCTGAACCGTGAATACGCGCTTTGAGGGCTTTTATTATTGATACCTGAGCAAGCCGGTCGTTTGCGGGATTCCAGATTTCTTGAGCTGATTCGGGATTCCAAAGCCCAGGACTCCGGGTTCCACAAGCAAAATTCCACCGTTCCGGAATCCTGATAACCTATCATGGTGCGCCGAATTTTGAAGTATTCTTATGACACAGTCTGAATGACACTCTTCACAATTTTAAATTTAAATCTACCTTTCAGCTCAAGAAGATTCTTATCAAGTGTTGTGACATTTCAAATGAAGTGCGTCCCATAGACGTCTCAGAGCCCTGGGCCGACTGTCTTCTCGAAGAGTACTTTATGCAGGTTTGAACAAATGAAAGGAATTTTTTCTGGTTCTTTGTCAAATGCTTATGCAGTATAAGGTGATTATACTGACCTGGGAGAGTCGCCTTTATCATCCTTTTTCTTCATCAGTAGTTCATATGACTATACAAGTTTTGTCCACGTTGATAACATTTATTTAAATTACCATGTTGACGTAGTTGACGTAATATTGCGCTAAAATTGCAGAGTGACCGAGAGAAATCAGAGGGTCTCCCTGTTGCACCTTTTATGGACCGTGATAAAGTTAGTAAGCCTACCGCCCAGATTGGCTTCATCAAGTTTGTACTGATACCCTTGTTTGAGCTTCTGAATAAGGTGCGTATCAAATAGTAAGAAAGTACTGCGGTTGTATTAGAAAAACGGCACTGATGCCAGATGAATAGATAATGCTTCAAAAATGCAATGTGAGCGATTCCACACACCACACCCCTTCCATTTCCTTCGGGAAAATCCCTGAGGACAAGCTTAACCACTCAAGAATACAAACTGCGGCAATGCATGTTCGTTGGGGGTCGCCGAGTGGACCATGGACAGACTTGACGCCCGTCGAGAGATACGGCCTTCACCGCTGTCTTAAATAACGGTGCAAGTGTGAAAAAATCAAGAAAAGTACTTGAATTTCAAGGAAGTTTCGAACCCCCTTTTTGATACTAAACCACTATCTTGGTAATTTCTGAAGTTAATTTTGTTTTTTGGCACCTTTTAATCCTTCATAGTTGGAGTGGTACCCTAGAATGTACCCCAGAAACCATTATATACCGTAGCTTAATTCGCAAACTTTACTGATGACCGCAATTTTACCCTGACAGTTCAATTTCTGAGTTTAAAAATCACCTCTTTGATAGTCTTGGATTCGGGGTTCCACTCTTTGGATTCCGAATTCCAGTTACTGTATTTCAAATTCCTTATCGGTGGAACTAGGATTCCAGATTCCTACAGTTAGTGGGATTCTGGATTTCAGGAGTGGAGTGAAT